GAGAGTTAGCCAGTTTACTGCTTTGTACTGGTGTTCTTAACGCCAGTAGTGGAGTTCTGTGTTTATAGCCTCAGCTTTCTATCCCGGTGAAGACTAGTCGTCTGCCGGGTAGTTAGACTGAGAGGGCTTGGTCAGCTTAAGAGATTCCAAGCTACTGTCGGATCTTCCGCAGTCTAATCAACAGTAAATCAACCCAGGGAATTGCAATTGAACCTAACTAAGGGGCTAGGGGGACTCAATCCCGAGTGACTCTTACCTGCTTTTGAAAACCGAACCATTTCCTGCTTTCTTACTGCTTTTGCTTTTAAACAACAAACACTCTACTTAGTTTGCTAGATAATAGAGAATCACGGAGTAAGCAGTAGATCTAGACCCCGGGTTGATAATATAACTTGCCTGTTACTGCATTCCCGGACTGCGATTACACTTGGTCGCAGTTTGGTGTTGTGTTCTGGCGTGTCAACTTCATAGAAGGAAGAAGGAAGCGTCTCACCAACAGGTAAAGCTTTCTTGACTAGGTCCAGATTCATGTTGAAGGCTTTATCAGTACTATTGGTTACCAGTTTATTGTTCAGCAATTTCATAACAAATGATAATCTAGAAAAGTCTTTGCATCCAGGGTATAATGGCAAATTGGCATCACGGATTAGCCGAGCCAATTTATCATTGAGGTCTGTTATATTAGAATAATTAGGTGTTGTTGACCCCTCAATGACAGGAGCATTTCCAGAAGAAGCAGACAACATATCCCCTAACATATCAGCCATGTCATCCTCTAAACCCTCAGTCTCAGGCGCAACTGTAGGTTGCCTAGGCTGATGTCTAGTACTCTCAAAGTCAAACGACTCACCATGATGGATCCATGTAGTATATGTCTCCACCATGCCATTCCTGGTTATATCATCTGCGACAATCTCCAACTTCTTGAAGTTTCGATTATTGCACCTTTTACAAGGGCATCTAGTTCTACCTAGCGTATCAACATGTTTGCTGGCAGCCCCTATGAACTCAGAAACCCCCTTTTGATATTCATCACAAAACCTATCCTTAAGCTTAATCCAATTTCTACTCATTCAATCTGTGCGTAAAGAAACTGACCTTCCCTTTATAGGCAGTTGGTCAAGAAGGAAGCACAGCGTGAGATGAACTAGAAAAGGATCTGCAGAGGGTATATGACAAACCATTAGGAACCAGTTGACTTACACGATTTCTCTGAATGTCAGAAAAATTGAAGACATTAATCGAATCTTACCTTTGCTTAGTGCTTGGGCCGCCTTCTCTCTATTCTAATTAGCACAACTGGATGGTTGAAGGATCGAAGATATAAGCAGCACCTGCCACCGAGTCAATGACAAGGAAACACAAGAGCTCATTCAGATAGATAACCCACCAGAATAGTCTTAAGCTAAATTAGCATTACATAGTAGACACGGGAGAGAAGGACGACGCTTACCTATTTCTGAGACCAGCGAGTTTGCTATGGGAAACGAGGGAGGGAGAAAGACCAGCGAGTTTGCTCTCCAATCCGTAAATAAATTTAGGTTTCGAAGATAGGGGATCTTTGAACTGCGGTGGTGACGGGGAGATTGGTGGAACAGCTACGATGACGGAAATCCCGCCGGAGAGTGGCTGGCCCGATTGGTGGAGGACGGGTAAAGGATTTTGATGTCGGGTTCCTTTGGATTTTGATAGACTGCGCGATTTCAAGAGACAAGGAAAAAGGAGTATAATTGTTCTCCCGATCGAGGGAAAGAGGTTGCAGACTAAAAACACCAAGTATGACAAAATGCCATTGTCACATATCGAGACCACTATATTAAGACCAACATTACATTTGGTCAGATCGGCGAGGGCTTATGGTGCTCTATTGTGACAAACCAATTTGTCGTTTAAACAATTCATCAAGACATAATATGGCAAACTATACTTTGACGATCACATTTTGTCACTTTATGTCTCTTACAACCCGATGTGGGTTACCTATTTTGACGAACCATATAGTGACACACAAACTTGGTCACTTTATAAACTTTAACTGACAAAGTATTCTGACAAACTGATATTTTGTCACATTAGGAGTACCAAATGTGATATTTAAAATTTTTGTCATATTATAGTACCTATTATGACAAAAGTAAAATGACAAAAAAATTTTTTTGTCCTAATAGGCCGAATTTGTTGTAGTGTGACCACTGATATGTAGGGGTGTACATGGGTCGGGTGGTTCGGGTTTAGTCATTTCAATCACCCGACCCATGCACTACGGTTTGGGAAATATCAAACCCAAACCCACCCAAAAAAATTTAAACCCTACGGTTTGTTTCTAATTGGGTTGGGTCGGGTTGACGATATTTTTAAGTAAAAACCCAACCCAACATAAGATATATAATTATTCTATATCGTAAAAATATTTTATAACTAATTAAAATTTCAAACGAATGAACCGAGGTGAAAGGTATCAAAATTCACAAATGTTGTTTAAATTTTAATAAAATGTGATCTACTTCAACATATGTCTTGTTTTTTTCACAATATTTGTTGAAATAAGCTAAAAATGTTATAAACAAACGCATCCATAATATGTTATTCGATTAAAATTGTACACAAGAAAAAGGATTACGTGAATCATAACTATACTCAATTTATGTCTAAACTTTAAGTCGAAAAATGCATTAGATTAGGGAGACCATGAGAGAAAAACATGCCGAAATATCTTAATTTTCTCATAAGTATATGACTATATACGACATAAATATTTTTTAGATCCGAACTCATACTAATAGTTGGAACACGGGTTGGGTCGGGTTCTACGGGTTGTGTAATCCACAATCCAAACCCAACGCAAAAGAGGCGGGTTGTACAAAAGAAAACCCTCACCCAACCCAAAACCTTCATTTTAGCGATAAATACGGGTGGGTTGGGTCGGGTTGGACGGGTGGGTCGGTTTGCGGGTGTGTTTGTTCACCCCTACTGATATGGGACTCTTTGCTAGACAACAAACCTTCATCCATGGTTATATGCTTGTTACACTCGAAATCAAGTAGCCATTCAGAGTCATAAGAAACAATACCTGCCATGTGAGTTGCTGGATCATCCGAGGATTTATCCGAACTACCAAAAAACTGCTTCAGCAGCTGAAGTTGAGCAAGAATGAAAAAGGCCACGAGACTTTTCTCCATAGCCTCCACCTGACCCGCCTTAGATGCACAACCATAAGTGTCTCGACCAGATGCACCCGGAGTTCAGCCACGACATGGCCTCGTCCTGTCCCTATGACGATCATGATCACGGGGTGAATACCAAATTAGTTCATATCAAGACTCCTGCAAATGACCTAAACATTGACAATGAGTGCATCAAGGGCGTTCAAGTTCATTAGCACCCCGATCACGATACGAAGCCCTACGATCGCGCTCCCCCCAAAGAACGAGAGCGCTTGTCAGATTCGCTTTAGGCACGAGACGCACTACCCTGGCCAAACCTAGCCTGAAGATCTCCCAAAATTTCACGTGCACTCTCCGCAAAAAGAACACTACTGCAGATCTCTTTGTCCATTGAGGTCTTGAGCCAGGCGTTGACCATGGCGTCACACCGAACCAGGCAGCAAGCTTGACGGGATTTGAGGGCTTTGCAACCGTGCCATCGGCGAAACCATACTTGTTTTTACCAAGAAGGGAGTCCTTCATATCAAGGACCCACTCACCATAGTTTACGGCGGGAAGGACATCGCCAACTAACAAATTTCCAGGAAAATCCGAATTGGTGAGATGATAAGCGGATGGCAGCTCTGGGGAGGACTGACAGACGAGTGACTTGCTAGAATTGGACGGAGTAACGACGCTAGATTCATCATCGAGACTCATGACGCATTATCGAACGTGGATCATCACCGCTCTGATACCATGTAAAATAGAAACAAAAATAATTGAGAGACTTTGATTTACGTGGTTCTTCCTCAGGTTGTGTGAGGCTTACATCCATGGGAAGAGGGATTGATTATTACTGATGATTACGGCTTACAAGAGAGCAAGCCGTTTTATACTCTAATACACAATCATCTAGGGTTACATTGATAGGGCAAATCCTATGTAGTGGGGGACATGGAGTCCGCTGCCACTCTACGTACGCTGCATGAATGAACAGCGACATGGGATCGTGAGTCGTGACGATTATCATCTTCCACACCTCAACCCCATAGCCGTAGTTGGAGATAACCCTGTCTCAGAGCTTACTGTGGTTGATTGAATGCCGCTTTTACCATTGCAGATTGCAAGTCAAACGTGAGTCGTTTTAGGTCAAAATAAGATTGCATACGTTTATAATTGTTGGGTTAATTACTTAATCATGGTTTACAGTAATAAGTTTGTTTTTATTTCTGGTAATTTATAAGTTTGTTTTGGGTTTAAATCTTTAAACTACAAATAAATGAACTAATATATCTGTAAAATGCATTCCAACCTAGATTACCTAATTTGGCTTTGGTTTAGGTACATACGTAGTATATATGGATAGGAGCTCATTATTTATATGGATCACGAGGAGGCAAAAAAGTTCAATTTCAAACCAAACATTTCATCCGTGCATCCATTTGAAAATAAAAGAATTATGATCAATATGAGACAGCAAGATTAGTAATAATAATTTAATGACAGAATTCCTCCAAACTAGCTAGCTATAATGTCATGTTAGATTACCGAAACCTTGGACTATGTAATATGTATTAGCCTTTTTTTCCTGACCAACCTTCCCCACCGGCATTCGTATATGGGTAAGGAAAGTGAACTACCTAGTATCACACACCATCTGACAACTCTTCTCTCGACCATACTAACTTCAATAATCTCAGTGGCTGTATATAAACCCTCCACCTCTCAACCCTTTTCCACCATCACTTGCACCAACAAAACCCCAAACAAAAGAACCATTTGATATATCACATGGCTTCTTCTTCCAACTTGTTCCTCTTTGCTTTCCTGCTCGCAGTCACATTCTGCAGTAGCATGAAAAACGGAATGGCGGCTCGACAGCTCCTCCAACTGCCGAAACCCACAGCACTGCCTCCGATGCCCACCATCCCATCTACTCTGCCGCAACCAACACTGCCACCACTCCCCAGCGCCGCCGGCGCCATTCCCACCATCCCATCTCTGCCAACCCTGCAACCACTCCCCAGCGCGATTCCGACCATGCCCACCATTCCTTCCATGCCAAAGGTTTCTCTGCCGCCGTTGCCCAGCGGGTTTCCAACCATGCCTTCCATCCCCGGCCTTACCCCGGCGGGACCTGGAAACTGATCAGTGAAGTACTAGTACATGAAGTTGGTGGATGTCACTCTGTTTGACGATATGTTGTTATATGTCTTGCGATTGCTTGTCTACAGGGGCTCATCATTGCTTGTTTCTGTTCTGGTTGTTATTTGAGTTTCTTGCCTTTGTACGTATATTTATTTGTACGTAGTATTGTATGCATCACTCCTAGCATGTGTCCATTTTTCTCGGTTGTATAACTTTTTATGATATTTTTACATATGATTTTTATTGGAAGTAAAAGGACAAGATCGAATTGATCGATAGATGTCGATCCAAATCCACACTTGAAACATTGAAACTGATAGTTAACACAATATGACCTCAAACTAAAATGATTAAACATATTAAATGACTTATCCCAGTCTCCGGGTGATAGAAAGGCTTCTTCTCCATTACTGCAAGTCTTTCTTCTCTATGCACAATAAATAAATTACTCAATCGCTATTCGTTGTCTTAAATTTTAAAAAAAAATTCGCCCTAAACCATACTGAATTGACGTTTTTATCCCTAACTCCAATTTCCCTAATTCGTAGTCGTCCCCCCACCAGCCGATTGTCGGTCGCCGCTGCCGTACCCCAAATCCGCCTCTGGTGCCGTTCTGATTGCTATGTGTTTGTGTGTGTGAATGTGACTTGGTTACTGGAATCCCACCTTTGGATAGCTTTGGTTCCTCTTTTATTCCCTTCCTTTTTGTTTGGTTCTGCCTCTCGCTTCTTCTCTGCTCTCTCTCTCTCTCGCTCTCTAAAAACGAGGCAATGACGATAATATTTGATTGATTTTCGATTTTCCGCGAGCTCCCGACTTAGTAGCGGTAGAGCTGCCGGTTCCACGGCGGGGAGACTCAGGATGGTCGGATTTACGGAAAATCTGATTCCCCCCGGCAACCGATTGTTTCGCAGCACGAACGCGGAGGATCTTCCTCTCATCTGGACTACAATGGTGGATCCGAGCCTCCAGTGATTTGTTACTCGCATTTGATTTCATTCAAGAACTACTTCCAAAAAACAAACAATCAACTTAAAAGTTTCAATTTAACTTTTCAGTACTGCTTGTGAGTGCTTAAGTTGTGATTCCAGTAACCAAGTCACCATCGTTCTATCTCCCAACAATCGAACCTACACCGGAGGCAATTATGTGGTGATTGTTTTATCTTTTAATTACATGATGATTGTTTTAGAGTTTAAAATTGAAAGGCAAAAAAAAAAAACTAACAACAGCCAAGTAAATTTAATATTTTTATGGCGACGAATAGTAATCCCCATAAATTAATATCAAACTTCAGTTTATATGAAATTTCCGAAATGCCTAAAAAAGTCGAAATTCTTGGGGGGCCGGGGCCCCTCCGGAGAAGCTGTAGCTCTGCGCCTGTCCCTCATAATGGTTGGTCTTGGTCTTACGATAATTTATGTTAACCCATAACACCACTTGCCTCGATCCATCTTAATCACTAACTTGTTATGGCCCTGTTGCTCCAACCGCCTTAGGGATCCCTCCCAAATGGTAACCGTCGCCTTGGGACTGGTGGGTACTTGATGGCCTCGATGGCGGGTTGGGTTGGTGTTGAGCCTTGTAGCCCTATCATGACTAGATGGGGTTGAGGTTCTTGCATTAGCCTCCATGAACCATGATGAGGTCTCGATCTCACCCTCGACTGCTTGATGACACCCCGCTCCTGAGACCGCTACCACCTCATGACACCAAGTCCTCATCATTAACTTGTTGGTTGTTAACAAGCCGTCTCATCGGCTTGATACCTTCTGGCATGCCAGCAAGCCCATGTAGTGAACTTGACACCCCTTGCTACCAAGCCAGCCATGGTGGCTTGGTATCCATACTTACTTTTTTGTAGCCTCGTCAAGTTGGTAATTTGCACCCTGCCGGTTGGGTACCCCGTTAAGGTGCTACCTGGCTAGCCACCATGCCTTAGTCAAATTTCTTATCTTGTTGGCTTGATACCCTGATGTCTGGCTATCAAGTCCGTCTTGTCGGTTTGATATCCAGACTTAGTATTTGTATGACTCTATGGCGACCAAGTCAGTCTTGCCGGCTTGATACTCCCTTGGGGTCATGGTACCCTGTCGCCTTGCTTGGCTGCCAAGCCTGTCTTGCTGGCTTGGTACCGAGGTTGCCTTGTCGACCCGGTACCCCCTTAGCTCCATACTTAGCGAAATTCATGCTTTTCATATCTTGCTACCAAGCCCTGCCTTATCGGCTTGGTACCCTCTTGGCTCAAGACTTAGCCAAATTTCATGCTAGGGTACCAGACCTGTCTTGCCGGCCCTCTTGTTTGGCCCCCTTATTTAGTACCAGGCTTGGTACCCGGCCGTTTGACACCCCGTTGTATCGCCTTGTTTCCAAGACTTAGCTTTTGGATGACCTCCTATTTGGTACCCGGCTTGGTACCCGGTCGTTTGGCACCCCGTTGTCTCGCCTTGTTTCCAAGACTTAGTTTTTGGAGGCCAAATTTCCTACCAAGGGGCGAAGCGCATCATCCGGCTATGGGGCCAAGGAGACGGGTCAGCCATCGTGTAGGGATGAATGGGCTTGGAAGAATCGTGTAGGCCCAAAATTCCAACCCAACTAGGCCCAGCTGGCTCTTTTAATTATTAGTGTTGAGCTGGCCTTATAAATCCGTTAAATCTCTTGTAATTAATCAATGTTGTACAAGCTGATTTTTTTATGGGTAAACAAATGCCCCCCCACAACTTAGTGTATAAGAATTATGCACTAAGTTGATGAACTCAACTTGACCACCTAGAAATAATTATTATCTCGTCATCACCTTCCTTAGCCAAATTCTGGCTTTGATTACAAAGCCATGCACCCTTAGCCTTTTATAGCTTGCTAGGCCCCGACATAGGAAATAAAACTTAACTTTCTCAATTTCCTTTTCATGTGATGGCTAGCTACATAAAGCCATGCTTTATCACGAGGGTATTATGCCATGTCTTAGGGTGTGGGAGGCTTGACATGTCGGCTACAATGGTGGCCGCCTAACATTGAACCCCTTGACACCACACGTCCCAAAGAGAAGGGACATAAGGTTTGAGATACTTGCTATTAATTAATCGATCAATGTAGCATCCCATTCTCTTCTGACAAGCAGGCCTCCTTGGATGGGTGGTCGGGATGATAAAGGGTCCAGGCCAAACATTCATTCAACTAATCATGTCATGTAAGTAGCATGGTACACCCATCAATCTAGATATTGTAAAGGGTTCCATAGACCTTGTTCCTTACCAGTCATGGCAAGACCCTCACCTCCAACGTTACAACTCTAACTCAACTTTCCTCTTCTAAAAATTTTTTTAGCCAGGTTTTGCTTGTGATCTTCTTTTTTCTCTTTTTTCTTACTTGCTAATTTGTATTTATATATTTATTTTAATACAGAAAAGAGTGACAAACGTCACTGATACCCATGCCCTTTGGCACCCACCAGCGTGCCCAAGGTGTACACCCACTGCCATTTCCATGTATTAAACCAAGCCAGCCATCCATACACTACTTGCCTTCACTCTTTTAGGGGGGGGGGGACTCTTTTTCTGTTGGTTTTGAATTTTCTAATTTAACAACAGATGGTACCCAATCAACATGTCTTGCCTTGGAGAGCTTGCAAGGGGTCCCCTGATCCTCTGCCTTAGCCACCTTACTTGACATATTGTGTTGATTTTGAACCTGATGTGTTTGCCTCATCCCAAGTGGTACATTAGTCATTCTCAAATCCTTAGCCTCATCAAAGGAGCTATTAGTTTTTATTGGCCTTGGTTTCTCCCAACCAGGCTTACTCTTCCCATATAGTCGAGAAAATGAGTGGTTGTACTCAATGAGTCGATGGCTATTCTTATGGCCAACCTGACATTGTTCAACCCTTACGCCTTGCTGACTTCTACACGTAGCACATATCAATCTCTTATTCTTTGTATGACCATGTCTAGTTATTGTATGCCAGGATGTCTTGTTCATGCCCCCTTGTTTACCATTCATGTTTAGCATTCCATGAGGGTTGTTAAGCATGAACTTGCTTCTTTTTCCATTCCTTAATACAGTCTCATACTTTGAAATTTTTGAGTGGCTTGGATGGATTGCACACTCTTGTAATTTCCCCTCACACATTTGATGACATCCCCCTTGACCACTGCGTGGATCTGGAAACATGCCCCCATGCCGTTACTCATGGTTACTGACATGCCCCCCTTTCCACACTTGGCTAAACCACCATTCTTGCTGGAAACCCATGTGGATTGGCCTTGTTGTGGCTTGTTGGGCACAAATGTCAACCCGCTGCTTGTGGTTGATAGCATGCCCCCCGTGCCATCCTTGGACAACAAATATGATGTTCTGTTGGACACACCCTTTTGTTTAATTTTCTTGACGTCAACTTGCCCCCAAACCTCACATTTCACCGTCAACTTGTTAGGTGGTAGGCTTCCATGTCCTCTTTCTTGCCCCCCTAGGCAGTTTGCATCCACTATACATATTAAGCAGGGGTGGCAATGAGGGTGAGCAAGTTTGTGGTGGTAGTTGATCCAAATGGACTGGATCTCCACTACCCTTCCCATTACGAGGTGTCATACATGACCTTGACACCAAGAAATTTTCTTGTGTAACTGCCTGCACAAGTGGTTGCTCCACGTGGGTGAGATTCTTTCCATAACCACTAATTTGAAGAGGTGGTTCACCTTTCACCGTAGACGATGAGTTCTCTGACGGCTGAGTAGTCCGGCCACCTGATTCTAGAACATTCGTATCCCTAGTAGCAATGCTTGATGGTGGATTGACACCATCTTTCGCCAAAACCTATGATCTTAACTCTGGTTTTATCAAAAGTTGGCGAAACTTCTTACAACTACTTTCATTTATCTCACATATCTCATCCAGTTGATCTAAACGTCGATTTAGACGAGTATGGAAACTATCAAGTTGAGATACAATTTGTTTTGTGTATCCCACCATAGCCACCTCTATTAATTGTATCTCTACCACCA